CAGCAGCAGCAGCCTCTTCGATTAGGCGCAATCAGCAGCAACAGCAGCAGCAGCAGCAGCACTGGTCATGCGTACTTACTCCCCTCGCAACGGCGAGACATGGCCGCAAATCAGCAGCAGCAGCAGCAGCAGCAGCAGACTGCTGCTGCTCTCTTGCCTGTGGGGCCGCACGCAGTCCATTCAGGCTTAGATGTGCTGCCAGCAGCAGGAGCTGCGCCCTTAACAACATCAACAGCAGCAGCAACAGCAGCAGCAGCAGCCGACATGAAGGACTTGGCGCAGTGTTTCTCTCAGTGTACAGTCAGCCCCTGCAGCGGCGATCTCTTTGCTGCAGCAGCTGCGGCTGCTGCTGCTCCTTCATTGCGGGCTGCAGCAGCAGCGCCAGCACCAACAGGAGCGGCAGCAGCGCGTACGAGGCCACAGGGGCCCTGGAGTGCTGCTGCTGCTGCAGCAGCAGCAGCAGCAGGTCCTACGAGTTGAGGCATCGCGCCTGCGGCACTGCAGCAGCAATTGCAGCAGCAGCAGGAACAGCAGCAGCAGCAGCAGCAGTAACAGGAGCAGCAGCAGCAGCAGCAGTCATGACGAAGGCGCTCGGACAGCTGCTTGCTGCTGCTTGCTGCCGCTGCAGCAGCATCTACAGCAGCATCAACAGCAGCATCAACAGCAGCATCAGGTGTTTGTATAAGACGGTGCGCCGCTTTATGTCACAGTCTTCTTCATTACTTGCATGCAGGAGACAGTCTCTACCTATGCTTCCTTTGCTCTTTTCAGGGGCCCCGAGGGCCCCCCCCCCCATTCATTAACAGTTCGCTGGCAGCAGCAGCAGCAGCAGCAGCAGCAGCGGCAGCGGCAGCAGCGGCAGCGGCATTAGCGGCTCTTGGAGGCCCCTCGAGGCCCCATGATGAAGCCGCCTCATCTTCTTTTCTTACAGGGTTTAGGGGGGCCCCCCTGACAGCTGGGGGCCCCCCCCCCTTCTACTGTACCCTTTAAATGGTTACATTTCTATGAGCTTTTTCGTTTGCTCGGAGAATAGGGGCCCCCAAGGGCCCCCAGGAGGGCCCCAAGGGGGCCCCCCAACGGGGGCCCAGGGGCCCCCAACGGGGGGCCCAACGGGGGCCCCAAGGGGGGCCCCCAGGGGCCCCCGAAGCAGGGCCCATTGAGGTCCTTGATTGATTATCGTTCGCAGGGGCCCCTCTATTGAGATAGTGCTGAGGGGGTTTTGTATGTATATAATATATATTATATATAATATATATGTTAATATATGTAATATATATATTATGTATATTAATATTATATATTATATATATTATACTATCATATATATTGTCTTGCTGGAGGATTAGGGGCCCCTGCTGAGGGTTCTGGGGGCCCCCTCTATTATTTTGTGGGGCCTCTTGGGGCCCCTCAGGGGGCCCCCGGCTGCGCGTGCAAGCGTGTGGGGCGCAGCACACGCATGCATGCATGCATTTCGCATGCATGCGGATACATGCATGCAGATGATGAATAAATGCGTGCATGCATGCACTATGCATGCATGCATGCATGCAGATGATGAATGAATGCATGCACGTGAATGCATGCATGCATGCACGTGAATGCATGCATGCATGCATGCATGCATGCATGCGGTGTGTTTGGGGCTTGGTTCTCGTGCGGGGCCTGCAGCCTATCTAGCCCGCAGTGAGCAGGGGGCCCCCAGGTGTTGTTATTGATGAGTGAAGGGCCCCTGCCTTTGCATTTGCCTGCGGGAAGGGCCCCCTATAGGGGTATAATTGGCGCCCCAGAGGGGCCCCCCAGCAGCAGCAGCAGGTGCTGCTGCTGCTGCTGAGGGGCCCCTGGCGGTCAGGGCTTTCTTGTTGTGTAGCAGTCCTTCGTCCTACAACAGCAACAACAGCAACTCTCTAGGCGGCCGCTAGCTGGCTAGCTAGCTAGCTAGCTAGCTAGGTAGCTGGCTAGCTAGCGGGCTAGCTGGGTAGCTAGCTAGCTAGGTAGCTAGCTGGGTAGCCAGCCAGCTAGCGGGCTAGCTAGCTAGCTAGCCACGCGCCAAAACTCCGCTAGTCACCGCAGTCGTCACGAGGCAGAAACCCCTCCTTTGCTGCAGCACTTGCGTCCTCCTTGCTGCTGCTGCTGCTGCTGCTGCTGCTGTTGTTGCTGTTGCTACTGCTGTTGCTGCTGTTACTACTGCTGCTCCTGGTACAACTACTGCAGCTGTTGCTGTTGCTGCTGTTGTTGCTGCTGCTGTTGCTGCTGATACTACTGCTGCTGTTGCTGCTACTGCTGCTGCTGCTGGGGAGGTAGCCAGCAAGCAGCAAATCGTAGGTGGTAAGCATGCATAGACATTGAGGCTCGTTGCTGCTGCGCTTGCTGCAGTACTTGCTGCAGCAGCAGCACTCCTTCATTCTTTGCTTCTTCAGCAGCAACGTAGCAGGCATCAGCATTAGCAATCATAGAGTCTCTTTACTGCAGCAACTAGCTAGCTAGCTAGCTGCTCCTGCTCGTAGCTAGCCAGGCCTGCAAGGGGGCACCTCAGCAGGTCCTTCACCCCCCGCAGCAGCAGCAGCCGTAGCAACAGCAGCAATTGAAGCAGCAGCAGCAGCAGCAATAACACCAGCAGCAGCAATAGCAGCAGCAGCAGTAGCAATAGTGAAGGCTACAGGGCGATATACGAGGCCACAGTACAGTAAGAGACGACTATCTTGCTGCTGCTGTCCTCCCTGTGTTGCTGCTGCTGCTGCTGCAGCAACATAGGATAAAGTTTGCTGCTGCTGCGTGCTGCTACAGCCCCTAACCGCTACCAGCAGCGACATGGAGGTGTATAGAATAAATATAAATATATATATGATAAGTATACACTTAAATATTATTATTAGTTATATATATTATATATTTTAATATATATAATAGATTTGCTGTCTATTATATATACTAAAACATATAATATACATACCCTAAAATATACATACAGCTATATATATATATATATATATATATATATA